ACTCTGCAAGGGTAGACAGCAGAGGTGGAACAATTCACCCTCCACTGGCAGTTAAATTAATATTCACAGTGCAAGATCAGTTTGATTCCAGAATCAGTTCTTATTTTTTTTGTCGTTAATTGTCGTGCTATCAGTGGCTGCAGGAGTAATGTTCTCCCTTACCCATTACACATCTCAAAATACTGATTCTTTCAAACGCAATTCGATGCCTCGATCAAGGGCTTAGGAATCGAAGCTTTCAAAACTAGTCGAGGAATCAAAGCTTCATTCCACTCCTAATAGCAGCAATGCACGAGGATGCAAGTGTCTTTTCATTTATAACAGTCCTAAATGGCTAACAATAGCAGCCATGGCGTGTTGGCTCTTCACTCGGCTCACAGAGACAGACAAAGCGACATCATCAATTGGCAGTCAGGCCGGAACAGCCGACAAAAACTTGACTGTATTATTATTTTAACATAATTATGTATGGAGCCACCCATATGAGTTGCATATGCCTTGGTCACAAAGAGTGGCTTGTTTGCTTTGCGAAACACAATCCTTTTATAGCAGAGGGGCGAATTTGGCCACGACACTTGGGACACAAAGGACCACTATTTCAGAGATTGGCAATGTATGGGAAATTTGGCTTCACGTCTTTTTCCGAAGGATTGTGTGCTCCGTGACAAGAGGGGTCTCAATGCAGCTTGAGTTAGAATTGGGTTTTAAATATTTAAAGTCATTTGATTTGGAGAATAACACACTGCTAACCGCAGCCCCCTCTGATGCTACCTCAAAAAATGCGTCTGCTTACCAAGGCCCAGGGCCCAATCCAAACTCTCCTGCCATCACAGAAAGTGCCTATAAGCAAAACTAAATACAATTTTCATGAGTGCAATGAAATATATGTTTTAAACTAAATAATGTATTCGATTATCATCAACCATGGTCAATCCATTACTAGATGAAGGCCTCCACATGGATTCCAATGTCATCTCTCATGGTCCTGCGATCTAACAAAGACAAACCCCCCCCCCCCCATATAGTCTTAACAGACTGTAGGGACAAGTGCTGTTAGCGAGCACCTATGAAGGCTGGCATGGCGCACGAGGGGGTGGGTGGCCAGCACCACGCCTGGTAGCCTTTGTCTCCCTAGTACCAATGTTGACACATCGCGCCAGGTACTTATTTGAGGCTGAGTCGACCTAGGGGAGGCCCAGGACCGGTTCAGATACTCGTCACTGGTGTTAGCCGTGAGCGGGAATCGAACTCAGGCCGCCGGGATCGTATCGCAGTGCAGCGCTAACCGCAACCACTATGGCTCCCCACGATCTAACAGTGCACACTTGCGCACAAGCTTATTTCATTGGTCCACCACCTTGGCAGACACACTTGGACTGCGCCCTCGCCTTCAGCTCCACCCCTATCTCTACCCTCTCTCCCCCCTATCTCTGCCCCCTCCCTCCCAGAGGTCGCAACCGGGTACCCGATACCCGTACCCTACCCGATACCCGGCTACCCGTACCCGGCCAGGTACGGGTACCCGTTTGCGACCCTGGTTCGGCCAGGTACGGGTAGGCCGTGAGTCACTGGTGAGTAACCGTAGGGAACGGGTACCCGTACCCAGGGTACGGGTACGGGAATCAAAACCCGTTTGCGACCTCTGTTTCCTCCCCCATTGTCTAACGCACTCGCTTTACTTGTGTAACGCTGGTGCTTTGCTCCTACATTGGCGCTGGCTGCCCCGCCCATGCTGTTCACGCCGCACAGCTTTGCTCACTTTGGAAGCCCTTATTAGAAGCAGTTACATTTGGAGGCTTGCCCCCTCTTTTCTCTCCGCCTGATGAAGACCGCTTGTGTTGCGATCGAAACGTCGTGGGTTTTTGCTTTTATTTTAAATTATAATAATTTTTTTTATTTTAATTTAATTTTTATTTTATTTTCTATCTACGTGACTTTACCGAAAAACCAAGAATATGAATTCCCGCAGTCACGAAAGTTTTAAGTCGAAATTTAGACACTCTCGATACGTTACATAAGAATTTGTGCAGACAGGGAAACTCCGCTTATGCGTGTCCCGATCTTCCAGTCATCCATACCCGTGAATCAATCTGAAAGAAAAAAAATCCTAATATCCTATTAATATAATATTTATTCATCCTATGATCCAGGGTTATCTGGATGATCTTACATTAAGTGAGTTTTCGTACCAATCCTAACATGTGCGATGTAAACGTGGACAACGGAAGCAAGAAGGAAAAGTAAAACCCCTGGCAGCAGAAATGAGGATTGCGAGAAGCGACGTGGGGAAAAAATAGACGAGACAAAATAAGAAAGATCATGGTCAAAGGCTCTGAGTGGAGGCACTAATGAGGCATAACAGACGAGATGTTGATGGCAATGGCCACATGACGGGGGGGGTTTGTCAAATGAGGACCCTAGGGAAGAGTCCTAGAAGATATCCATGGAAGAGATGGAAGATGACAGAAGAGGCTTGGAGAAGAAGAGAGAGGGCAGATACTGCATGATGCATATTATACAAGAGATAGAGTGAGCCTGGGAAAACAGAGGGATATGGAGGAACACGTTGTTGCTAAATCAACCCAGGCGGAGACAGGACGCGGTGATAGATGATGATGAAGATGAAGAGGGGTTAACACGGAAGTGGCAGAACATTCATCTATTATTCGCTCGTATCCATGCCGTGGTTTGCCGAAGCATCACCGCATTCATTCTTTTTCCCCGTGGCTTTCCGTGTTGCAGTGACTCGGGTAGAGGAGACGAATTCATCAAATTATGCGTGTTTAAACAGATAACCGCATGGTTAACAGTAATAACGTCACACAGGCGAATATGAACAAGTGTATCTACCGATGGTGACGTCACAAACTAAAAAAATATCAATCGTTTGAAGTATTTATGATGAACATATATTACCCAAAGATTATGCGCATTGTCCACTCTACGTTAAGGCATATTCCCCCAGGCAATGGTTGCGACGATGACATTACTTGGTGATTAATTTAGCGCTGGAAAGTGTAAAACTCATCCGCTTCATGCTACTGGTATGGCTTAGCGGCCTGTGTGCAAAGCTGTTACCAAAAGCCCTTTTTCCGAGTCGCCATAGAATTAAGTAAATGCTTTTTTAATCGGTAAACATCTAATTTTCATTAAATTGATTAGACGAGCTCGATTGTACTTTAGGGATCATACGGGAGAGACTGCGAACATATCCCAAGAGTGCGTAAAGTCCACAAGCCAAGCCACGTTAAAACTGGAACAGTCGGCTCTTAACCATTTACTTGTTTTGTGCTTCAATGAAATGTCAGTGGGCCCTTCATGGCAAGTGTTGAAATTTAATTGGGCTAATAAGGAAGAGCTTCACCAATTATCACACATGTGCACGGTGTTCACGTGCGATTTCCCCGGCTTAGAACTATCCAAACCATGCTTGAGGTCACTTGATCGCACGTCACATGAGAAGCGTATGCGGGTCACATGTAAATATACACGCTTATTGGAACACGCATAACACAAAACCACCAGCATTTTTACCGCAAATGTCTCAGCAAAGTTTAACATGCGCCCATAAGTGGCTTACGTAAGTACTGTTCGCATGTGTTTTTTTTTTACGGGGTGGGTTAGCTAAGAGTAAAGGGTAAATAACTCTTTGCCAGAAGGTGCTATCGCCATTGTGTGGTTTTGTAATCAGCTGTTCCGAGGCACGCTTCAGTGCACTTCCATGCCGCGGCTATTATAATTGTAATTCGGGGCATTAACAGTGGTCAGATCTTATGTGCGGGCACAGGCGACAGCCCGGAGAGCATGTACGCTCTACCACTGTGAATGAACTCCGTCACCTATTCCATTCAATCCACCATTTCACCAAAGCCGGTGAAATGGTGCTTCCAAATTATAATGCACAATAAATATATAAATAACCCCGGCTTCAAATGTGCAACGATCATACGAGCCTGTCCTTGCTAAGAACACCTTTTATCTATAATAATGTATAATTATAGCCACACACGGCACAGCCAGCCAGGTGGCTCAGAGGTAGAGCGAGCGGCTCACTACCAGGCAGTTGAGGGCTCAAGCCCTGGCTGGGATTTGATTCGGTGCATCATTCCTCTAGGGGAGCTACCATCTTGTGGGGATGTCAATGGTGGTTGCTTATGGATTTAAACTTGGCTCCCACCATTCCAATGAGTATCTTCACCACTGTCTCAGGGCTGGGGACAAGGGAAAGAGCACCTCCTCGGTGCTCATGTGAGCAGGAAATCAAATCATATGCAGTGCAGTACTAGGGTTGTTTTTTTTCTCACCAAAAACTCATGGCAACTCATGAAAACAACAAATGCTTCCGTCACGTCGACCTTCAGCTGGCAAAAAAGAAATACACACAAGCACAATATTTGGCGAGAAAATGTAAATATGAATACCAAATGCACATTTTATTCAACAATATTTAGGTGACCTTTAAAAAGGCACAACGTTGTATTGCACGAATGTGTGCCTTGCTGGTACTTACTAGCATTGAAAAAAATCCCTTATTTATGGATTTCATAGATAGGGCCTGATTACTCTGATTGTCGGCCGAGATATGGTGTGTCCAAGTAAGAGATTGGATTTCCAAACCCTTAATGAGAAAGAGTGGCCTGAACCCAAGGGGCCTGGAAGAACTGATATTGGATAAATCTCTAAAACAAATTACTGCACGTGCAATAATGGCCACACATGTAGCGCATGCTACACGGGACTGTGGCAAACACCGCATGTTTGCAAATTCGATTAAACTGATTCTACAAGGGAAAATGGAAGGGAAGTGGGGATGAGGAAGGAAATGGATTAGTTGGCAGGCCGATGTCTGCAGTTGGATGGCACTCTCCACGACGCTGAAGATCGCGATAGATGGAAACCACCCGTCCATGGACGACACCAGTTCGAGAAATGTTTTATTTAGTCATTGTTCTTTAAAGTTCAACCAATCGGCCAGAGCAGAGTGGCGACTGCCCACTCACCGGAGGGTGTCGGCATCAACAGTGCCGGTGACGTTGATGCCGTAGAACCGCTGCATTGCAGAGACGGCGGCCGACATGACTCCCGGCGAGCGGATGGTGGACATGCGGGCATCTCCCCCAGGCAGGTAGCCGTACCGTTGCAGCCACGCCTGCAGTACCCGCAGCACAACCACCATCGCACACACACCACGGAGACACACATTTGTCTGGCGTCAACAGCCACAAAGGAAAACAGCCTTACGTATGCACTCTATGTTTGAACTTCTTTCACGCCGTACATAACCAACCGTGCTAATCTTAGGTGCGGGGGAAGGACAACAAACGAAACACAGAAAGCCGCTCGAAAGAAATTCGTTTTCAATTTTTATGATTGTGCTGCATGGCCTTTTCGCGGTTGTGCACGGCAGCTGTGTTTTTGGGCTGTAGCGCGGTGTTGTTCGTCAAGATGTCTGACTTTTCTCCCCACTTGCCCGAAAGTTTCTTTAGGAACCGAATTCGGTTTTCTGCGAGACCTCCTGGAGAATTGAGTTTTCTGGCAAAAATCTCCCAGAACATTGGGGCTAAACGTCGGACGGTCGTGCCGAAACAAGCACCGCGGTACAACCCCGAAAACACATCGGATAGCCTCCTAATTGCTAACATACTGTGCGCGTAAATACCCTCCACATTTTCGGCCGCTCAGACGTTACACAGAGTTGTCCCATGCCAGCGCTTGTGGGTTTGCGGGAAATTCACATTCTATTGGAAAATCCCTCCAGGGAGGGTTAAAAAAAAGACTATATATATCTTAGCTGCCCAATGTCAGAACCATGTCTAATTTGGAACGCAAAGAGAGTAAGGGCAAAATAGAGATGAACAAAAAACTAAAAGAAACAAATCTGCGATGAAGTGCATAGTTAGTTCAATTCAATACAAATTGTAGGTAAGCTCTTCACAGATGTGGGGAAAAACCTCTCCAACATAAAAACGGCAGAAATAAACCAAGTAAAGATCAGTACTGTATCCGTCTCTTCTGAATCAAAGTATACAAATGAGACACCGGTGATTTCTAATGAAATATTCAAATATCATTTGTAAAAGCAACATTTTCAAACACTTTGGGCCGGTTTTTTGGTTGTTATTTTTTTTAACTAATTAAAATATTTTGGACAAGCTTGGAGCCTCTCACCTGTTGCAAAAAAAGTGCATAATTGTCTACCCAGCAACCATTACTGTTCTTACTCAAGTGCCCGAGTTTACGGGAAGTGACTTTCAAAGGCTAGGGCACTAATTTGTTAACATTCACACCGCCCTTCACTCACTGGGGGTGCAAAAGATGAGTGTGGGGGTGGGGTTTGGAGTCAGCCAAATATAAGAGTCAACTTCATTGAACAAATAAAAAATAAAAAGCGTTCTATCCTTTTAGACCACAATCGAACAGAAAGAACTTTGCAAAGCACCATGAGAAAGGGATGTCAAGAGGCGTACAAACAACGCCTTAGATTGCTATACATGTGCAGCTTAGTTACAAGGAATGCAGAACCGTCAAAGCATCTAAACAAAGCTCCCTACATAGTCAGCCTATGAGCATGGGCTATATAAATCAATTGGCACCACAGCAAATGCAACTACAGTACTCCTAAGGGGTAGACGCCACATCCCAGCATGTCGACTGTGCGCACACTCAAGTTTAGAGACTGCGGACGCTCTGAGATTGAAGGTCATTAGTGCATGCGAAGGTTGCATAATTGAATTCGCTCTTGTAAGGGTGCATCGATTAACATCGATTCTTAAGCCTAGTGCCATGCGTTGAATCGTGCGCGTGTATGAGAGTACAAGTTTTTCTTATTTATACCAAGTCCGTAATTATAATATAATTATAATATATATTGGAGGGGACACATCCCCCCCAATATTTAAATATGCTCAAAATGCCCCCCCCAATATATTGCTATAATTTTTTTTTTTAATTCTAATAATTGCTATGCTATGTAAATAAAAACAACAATTTGCTAAACCTTGGCCACATTATCTGGACTTTTCTTCATATAACAATGCATAGATTTCTGTTTATAGTATTGTGGTTATGGTTGTACTTTATTAATCCCTAATCTCTGCCATTACATACAATGAAACAAGAAAAGGTAAAAAAGAAAAAACAGAACAATGTAATACAATACACTAGTAGACATTATTGTAAAAAATAAAAATAAAAAATCCATGCTATGTGTTAGTAAATTTTTTAATATTTTAGGCAGGAAATTAGTTTTCAAATTTAGATATATTTTTTTCTGGGAGGAGACCCAGACCCCTGGAAGATTTGGTCCCCCCCCCAATGTTGACTCCATGGCTACAGCCTTGATTTATACAAATATGCACATGTGGAGTTTTGCGTAATGAGCTGAAAGAACATTGCAGAGAACTTGGACGAGCAAATCTAGTGCCGGATTATCCCAGTAGCAAAAGTAGCTACATATTCTACGGGCCCCGCACTTTCAAGGGCTCCGCGCTAAATGCTTTCAAGCTATCAATTCCGGTTCAGTGATTCTGCACTTGCTCTATTACTAAAGTACTATACTGCCTTCAACTTTTACGAACGACTGTGTGTTTAAGGTTAGCGATTTGTCGTATTATCTGGTTGTATAGAAAATTAGCGTTGTAATATTTATGTGTTTCTTTTTATATTTAGGGCCGCTTTATACCATATGCTACAGGCAATTACAATAAACTACGACGTTTCGATCGCAACACAAGCGTTTGTCATCAGGAACAGGAAGTTATTTTTTTTGTCATTTTCTTTTAACCTATCTACGCGACTTTACCGAAAGACCCAAAGAATAGTGAATAACTCGTTAAGATCATAATTTGTACTTGCATACGGTTTTGTAAATACAGTGCAAATCACATGGTCATATACAGCACGAGTATTTCAAGTATTTATTTGTAGTAATTTGTTTTCCTTTCCGATACTTTGCACTCCGATGTTGTTTTGTATTGTTTGTTGTTGTTGTAACTTTCTGACCTACCCCTTACTGGATATCTGTGAAAAAGAGCTTCATAGCTCATCGGATTTCTCCAAGATAAGTAAAGATTCTGAATCTGAGTGTGTTGTCTAAAGATTTATGAATAATAATTGGAATTATACACATTATTACAGTTTAAACAAGGGAACGCATGCAATTTAAACATGGAAATCTATAAATGAAGTTATGTACTTCAAGGGAAAAGGAATAACGCCATCAGACATCATTTGATGGGTTTTTATGATATTTTTTCAGATTTATCGGAACATGCCTGAAGCACGCTCAGATAGCTGAATGTAGCTATGGGAAGAAAAACATTATTACAGTATTGACAAGACAAGGCAAAAGTACCTTCTGCAACACACAGCATGAAGATACATATTGTGCATTGTTTTATTCATCAATGAATTATTAACTGTATTCTAGAGGCTATAGGGTTCTAATTCCCATTTGTGAGACCAAAGTGGAACTGTCAGGGGCGAAAAGTAACACCTCATTCTCATTGTTCCAGGACTATGAGTGAACTCAGAATGATAATCTCTATTTATACTGAAAGAATCCGATGACCTATAAAGCTCTATTTCACACATGTCCAGTAGGGATGGGTCAGAACGTTATAACAACAAGCAATACAAGAACACGATAGGAGTGAAAAGTATGGGAAAGGGAAACAAAAAATGCATTACAAATAAAACTCAACTATTGTTTATCTTACCAGGTAAAGCCCACCGAGCTATATTTGCTTCTTTTTCAGAAGTGACCTGGCCACAAATGATCGCTTAACGAAGTGGCTTACAACGTGGAAATTTATCACAGCAAATAATTTAAATAATCTTAATGCACTGATTGACATACCTGTCAACCCATACGGTTTACCCGTATTCTTGTACAGGGACATTGAGTTTTCCCTGTACAAAAAAATGTGTATATTTGTTTGTGTTTCTCCCTTGTGATGGCACTTTGTAGGATGAACGTTGAGATTTATAAAGGCACGGGGTGACCAAAAAGGTCTGATTTGGTCTGTAATAAGGTAGGGCACTGATAAGGGGTTGACAGGTATGGATTGGTTTTGGGATATTTGACAAATTCAGCAGCATATATCTAAAATAATAATAACAACAAACACACGTTGGTTGCTCTCCACGCAAATTTACTTGTCAAGTGTGTTTTAGTTTGCTAATTAAACTAAAGATTATTTTTGGGTCAGCAGGCCACTACCACCATAAATTGGTCTGACCCACAAAGGGCAGGCAATTTAAAGTCGAGTTTACAAAAGGGCACACAATAATGTAACAAGAGTGTGGAATATCTCACACTCTCGGTAAAAAAATAAAAACACAAGTATACTTTGTGTTGGTAAATGTGCAGCCCTGCAATTGTTTTTTTTTCTCTCTCTCACCAATGCTGCTAGAAAAAGGCCTCCTCTACAGGAAGCTCAAGGGAGCCCCTCAAGAGAATAGTTGCCCCCGTCTTCCGCAGTGGCCAGATGTCTTGGGAGAGGTCGGAGTACCCCCCAACCATACACCCACAACACGTGACCCCTGCCCGTCCACTAACCGTGGTGTATCAATTCATACTGCTGAGTTGACAAGAGATGGGGGATTTAAGGTTGCACCCATTGTCTGCCTCGCCTGGAGATCGAATCGAACTTCTGGATTGCAAGCCGAGTGTGCTAACCATTGCACCGTGGCGGCGTCCCTGTACTTGGTACACATCGAGCGGTGCACACAGATCAGCCACCAGAAGTCTTCTTGGTTCTTTCGGTAAAGTCACGTAGAAGGGAAGTAATAAAATAATAAAAATAAAACATAATAAAATTATTCTCACGACGTTTCGGCCACAATGCAAGCAGCCGTCCTCAGGTGAAGAATGAAACACCACCTGAGGACGGCTGCTTGCGTTGTGGCCGAAACGTCGTGAGAATAATTTTATTATGTTTTATTTTTATTATTTTATTACTTCCCTTCTACGTGACTTTACCGAAAGAACCAAGAAGATGAACCACTGCAGTCACGAAAGCTTTAAATCGAAAAGCCACCAGAAGCTAAAGTCACATTCTGAGCAGCTGAGCATGCCTTGACTCAAAGGCTGCAACTTCCGGAGGGTTTGAATACCGACATGCAGGCTGAATCTAACTCCTGTTCAGC